TAGCAAGTTTTGACGAAATCCTTTGCGCTGTCGGTGTCGAGCTGCAGGGGCAGCGTAGCCAGATACGCGTACTTGAAAATCGCATTTTGAAGACGGGAGTGACAGTGTTACCGAAAGGCCAGGCGGCCAGGAATACCGACAGGATCCATGATGACGGAAGTTGCCAACCGGTAGGAAGTACCGCGAGCTAGGTCACTGGGTAAATACCACAAAGAACCAAAGCGGAGTGCGAAAAAACTCGGTCAAACTCTCATGAACCGGGAGATGCTCCTACAGTTCGATCCGGAGCATATCTATAGCTTACACAGGGCGGGCTTAAAGATTGAAACTTGAAAACTCTATTACCACATGTGGTCTTCGCCATATGTGACCAGTTGGAAAAGATACAAGCACGATAATGCCGATCGCCACCATTACCTACTACTATTACAAAGCATCAACATACCCTACTGGCAGTGATCATCTTCGCCGTCAAGAACGACGTACTGGTGTAGACTTTTCGAAGACCCAGCCTTTATCACACGTCGTTAATGACGCCGTTGTCTGTGTGTAGGAACACCACCCGTAGATGCAGTCGTCATCCTAGTACCATCTCTTGTTATGCTTGTATATTGCCAGCCAGGTCTTAGGCCCCAAGCGGTTTCTAGTTATATACCGCCGTCCACTTCCGAGCAAGTAAGCGCCCTCCCCCATATCACACATGCACCCCACCAACGTAGAAACCCTCCTCCTCCCCACCACCCCCTCCTCGGCGGCGGCTAGACAAACACGCCTCACCAACAGCACCACATCACACACACACCAACCAAACAACCCTACAACCCTCCCCTTCCCACTATCCCCGCCCACTCGCGCGCCTACGCGTAACAGAGTCCGCAATAGCAACCTCCGCAACCGCAACCGCAGCAGCAGGCGCCGCTAAGGAGGGGGTAAGGCAGGACGCGCGCGCGTGAGAGCGTGCGAGCGTGTGAGCGTATGAGTGAGTGAGTGAGTAAATGTGGGCGGTTAAGGCGGTTGTAGGAGTGGTGGGAGGGAGGGAGGGAGGGGAGTGTCAGTGTGTAAAGGTATGTGTGAGAGGTGGTAACAGAAGGAGAAGAGAAGAGAGGGAAAGAGAAGCCAGCCACCACACCCGCGCGCGCCCTACATACCATACGGCTGCACCGGTACGTGCAGGACGTGCAGGAAGGAGCTCAAACAGCGGGAAAGCGTGATGAGCGTGATGAGCAGCCAACTAATGGGCCAACCATGCCAATCCCACCAGCCCTTTCAATAACACACACACACACACGGACACAGACACAGACAAAGACACCAAAACTAACGAAAACTCAAGCCCAGATTAACGAAAGACTCAACTAAGATTACACCAACCCCCCCAACCATCCATCTATACAAGCTAAAGACGCAGATACTATAGGGAGTGAGTGAGTGACGCAGCAAAGTAGCCAAGGCAGCCTAGCAAGCAAGCAAGCAAGCATAATCCAAACCTTACTCCTCTCTCCCAGGTAGGCAGGTATCCCCCGAAGAGGGGCAAGACAAGCCCCCCCCCCTCCCCCGCCCGTGCCTGAAACGCCGTGTGCGTACACCGCAACCCCCGTACTCGTAACCGCTCTGCACCCCCTGCCTCAGCCCTAGCCAGCCTGCAGAGCAAACCAGGCCAAGGCCAAGCCAAGCACGCCAGAGCGAGAGCGAGAGCGAGAGAAGGAGAGAGGGAGGGAAAGAGACGACGGACGACGGACGACGGACGACAAGGCGCCACCATCTCCGGCGCCAACGCCCTTCCGCCCATTCGTTCCCCCCTCTCCCCCCTCCACCCCCTCCTGCTCCCGCCCAGTCTATCTATACCCAAACCAAGCAAAATCCCAAACAATAATGAAGGTAGAAAACCCAGTCCGTATCCAGTCCAGTTCGCGTCATCGTCGCGTCCCGTGCATAGCCATGCCCGTTCCGTCTAAAGGGAGGTATCCCAATGAAACCAGTAAGAAATTCCTTGTTCCGCGTCGTCGCTTCTAATCAGACTGCCAGCGTCCAATCTACGACCTGGGATTCCGGTCCTCGGTCAACAGGCTCGAGATGGCCGTCCGCGACTGCCTGCGCTCGCGCTCGCGCTCCGTCTCCGCCGTGAAGGGCGCACCAGAGAACGCCGGCAGCGGCTTCTGCCCAAATACTGGCCTCCATGACGGCGCCTGCTGCAGCTGCACCGGCGGCTCGCACGGCTCAGGGCTGCGCTCCGGCGTCGGGGGACGCGCAAAGGGCATGCCCGCGCCGAACTTCCAAGGCGCGGCGGCGTGTGCGAGACCGTGTGCGGGGCTACCGCCCTGGCGCCAGACGTCCTCGAGCTGGGCAGCCGACACGTTCGGACCGTAATCGGTGGCGACGGCGGCCCAGAAGGCGGCGCGGTGCGACTCGTAGATCTGGCGAAGGCGGGCGGTGTCGACGGACTCGTCGGGCTGCTGCTGCTTCATCTCGGGCTTGGTCGAGTTGATGGCCGTGAAGGCACTCATGGCGTTGAGGGGCGGAGCCGCGGCGGTGTTGGGGTATTTGTGGTGGTGGAAGGGCAGAGCAATGCCGGAGGAGGCCGTGGTGGCCGTCGCGGTGGTAATTGCGGCGGACGTGTTGTTTTCGTTGCCGTTCTCCATGCCAGTCATGTTCGTGTCGATGCGCAGGCCGGCCCTCGGCTCCGGCGAAGTCTGAGGCGTCATAAGACGCGGTTGCAGGCGTGGAAGGATAGCCTTTTGCTGCGAATGATACCGTTGGTGCATCGAGTTGCCAGAGGGAGAGGTCTGGGGCAACGAGGCCTGCGTCTTGGGGCTGGCGTTCGGGGGAGTGATGGGTTGAGTGGAAGAAGTCTCCTCGGTCAAGTCATTGGGGAGCGAGAATTGCGAGCAAGGTGACGTGTTTGTCGAGATGCCGGAAACAACAGAGGAAGCAATGGAAGAGACGGAGGCATTACGCCTACGGCGATGCGAGCCGTGGCTCAGCTGGTGGTAGTGCAGACGGCAAGCGAGTTCGGTTTTGTTGAGTTGCTGGGCAATGTGCTTGTAGGGCATCTTCTGTTGGCGAGTCTGGAGAAGGTACGCCTCCTGCGAGTGGCAAGGTTAAAGACACGTATACAATGAAGGTTCCGTCGTGAACATACCTCTTCTTCAGTCCAAGACCTGTTTCCTCCCGTGGACATCTTGCGAGCCCGAGGAGGGGTGGGAGCGGAAGTGCTCATGTCGCTAAACGACGAAATGGAAGAAATGCTTCGCTGGTGCATTTTGAGTGTGGTGGATCAACAGTCAGTGGTCTGTAGCCGGTGATGGTCGTCGATTGATCGTAAAAGTCCGTTCGCAGCAGCGGAAAAGACGGTGCGTTAACGGGAAGGGTCCAAAGCTGGTCCTGCCGAGATGGATGACAATAAAGATTGATTAAGAAGAAGCGTGTATGGGCAATCAATTGCACAGCAATGTCAATTAGAGAATGAAAGCAGCCCCAACCAGTGGGAGTTGAAGGAAAGGAGGATAGCGTCAAAAGGCTGCCAAAAGGAAACGGCCGGGTGCCGAAAAGTGTGAGATTGATGGTAGTGCCCGAGGCAGAAGGGGTGAGGCGCAGAGGGGCTTGATATAGAGGCGGCGGGGCAACTGGTCGGTGGAGTATTCGCCAAGATGATTGAAGTTGTGGGTCTTGATGTTGGCTAAGTTTCCAAACCAGCCATCCTGCATGGAGCTGCAACAAAACTAAGAGCTTGTCAAACTCACGATTCACGGCGAAGCCCCAGTGAATGACGGATCCCCTCGCGAGATGGCCGGTTCAGGGCAGGTCGCAGACCCTTCTCCGGACGCGGCTGACGGAGCGCTTTGCCTGATCTGCAGCGCGACAGGCGGATGTTGACAGATCTAGCCGCTCTGCGGAGAAGCTCAGGGACACTGGTGTCGGTGCCGTGCATGAAATCTGTCGCCATCCTGAGGTGGGTTCTAGGCAGTTTCAAAACTCGGCTGGTTTGAGAGGCCTGTAACGGCGGCCCAAGCGAGGCAAATGAAGAGCGCGACAAGCCTCAAGCCCCGCAGCTAAGCCATGGAGCGTTGACGGAAGGAGAAACGGGTGGGGTGCTAAGCATAGAGTGCCATATAACCATAAAGCTTATTACAGACAACAAGCGGGGGCTACAGACGAAGCGAAGGCACAAGAAAACTCTGCAACGGCCAAGAATAGACACGAGCGCGGTGTTTTGACAGCCCAGAACATCCCCTTTTTACAGGAAACGAGATGAGACGGCGCAGGAAACGAGACCGAGGAAATTTGCCCACCTATTGCTATCCTTCGCCTTAGCAATGGCAGCAGCAGCGTTGCCAAGAGCCATGTTGGGTCGTGGCGGACCAGTCAAGACGCTTTGTTAGGCCTTCCATTCAGCCTGGTGGGCAAAGGCCAAAGGGCTCAAACGCGAAAGCGTTGCGGGTCTGGCACGGAGATCGTCTCATGGGCCTGCATGAACGTCGAAAGAGCCCAAGGCTTGGCGACAAACAAGAAAACGTCGCTGACGGGCGCGTTCGAGGTGAGAGGGTGAGAGAAGGGGGACAGAGAGTGTGAGAGAGGAAGCTGGGCTTGTTTGGCGGTCGTGGTCGCGGTCACTGGCAGGTTTTTGGAGGCGCAGGTCGCGGGATGATGGGCTTCGATTGGGGCGGTGATTGTCGCTCGGCTTGGTGGGGGATGTGTCGGGCTTGACATGTGAAAAAGGGTGTCGCATCCGGAGCGAGCTCGGGGCTTTTTGGTCATGCGGATCAGAGGCGAGATGGTTGGCAGATTGACCAGATATTGGCTTCGTCAGCCGCTGCGAGATGAGGGTCGTCAGCAGAGTGGAGCTGGTCCCCAGCGGTGAGAGGGAGGAGAGGGAGTACTCGCGCAAGATACACGAGGCGGGAAGGCGATGGCGATGGCGACACCCGTCACGCCTCGCATGAAGATTGCTGCCGGGGTCGACGAGCAAGCGACGCGCGCGTGACTCCGCTCCTGCCTCACTGCCTTTGCAGCCTCGCAGCCTCGCAGCCTCGTAGCCTCTCTCACCCTCTCGCCCTTTTCGCGACTCTCTCCGCATGCAGCCAACAACCAACCAGCTCCATCCATTCAGCCCGTCAGCAGCCCGCCTCTCCGCACTCGCTACCCCGCACCCACCTCCCGACCCCCGTCGACCATCGACACTCGTACTGCTCGTAGTCACTACTCCGCACGCGTCGGACCAGCCAGATGTTGCGCCAGACGCCATAATACCACCATCCACGGCTCCGGCCCCTCTCTGTCTCTCTCTTCCATGTATGTTCGCCTAGCCGCGGAACCACATCCCCGTCATCAAACAGGCGCAACCCAGAGCACGCGCGCGCCACCCACTGAGATGCCCATGAAAGCCATGCCTAGGTATTCGCTACTTGCGCCCTCTATGCACTCTGTACATACATACATACATACATACACACACATACATACATAGCTACATACATACATCCATCCATCATACGTTATCATACATACGTACACGAGCGCCCTCAGTGACCACCGCCGCCGCCGCGTACAACGCCTGACGGTCCCCGCTGTCGCAATAACCACGCCACTGCTACCATTGCTCCCATCATCCTCCCTCTCCACCATCTTCGACGCCGTTGCCATCGTCGTCAGCCCTCTCACGACTGAGCCCGCCTTTCCTTTTCGCTTTGCGCCGCCGGAACGCTTTGTCCCCCCGAGCCGCGCGCCGCGCTTACCGCCGTTGTGGGTGGTGTTGTGTCAAAGTTGGCGTAAACCAGACCTTTCTGCCATTGTTCCATTGCTGCCATGCCGTCGTGCTGAGTGAAGGCCGGAGAGACGCAGACGCAGAAGCAGAAGACGGACGGACGACGCTCGCCTGGGTGCTTGCGTGCGTGCGTGCGTGGTTAGCCAGCCAGTCAGCCAGCGGGCAACGCCCGATCGTTGTCGTCGCCCATCTGCCACACGGTCAGTCGGGGACCCAGAGCAGCAAGATCGCACAGCGCAGCGCAGCGCAGGGCGGCAAAAAAGCTTCGAGCGGCTCGCGCAGAGAGAACATGAGCAGTGAGCAACGAGGCGCCTTCGACCCTTCTGTAGCACACGCTCGACACTCGCCATTGCGGAGCCGATCCGTACGGCCTTTTCGCGACATACTTTGCCAGGAAGCAGCTGCAATCAAACATGTCGTGAGTATCTCCTCCTTTACTTTTTCCTTTGTTCTTTTCTTTTCCCATTTTCCCCCTCGAGGCTGTGACTTGGCCCTGTGCCGCGACCGAGGTCTCGACTACCTCGCGGGGGTGTCCGATGGGCCGCGTCGAGGAGCTGCCGCGCTGCTTCCCCGCGCCGCACCGCATTCCGATGCATCGTCCTTTCCCTTTCGTGCTGACGGGTTTGCTGACTTTTCGCTCGCGCCTGCGCACAGCGCTAACTCTCCGGCCTCGAAGCGCGCGCTGAAGCCGTCGCCCATGTCGGCCGCGCCCTCGCAACTCACCGTGTCCGGCGACCCGACGACGGGCCTCTCGGGGCTGCACCAACCCACCGCTCAGCAGCACCAGCCTGTCGACCCTTTCGGCGCCTATACCCACGTTCCGCAGTCCACCACGGCCTCGACGGCGCCCGCCGTCCAGCCGCAGGTGCCGTCGCCGACTAACCCGCGCAAGCGCCGCGCCTCCGGCCAGCACTTGGCGCCGAACACCGGCTACGGCGATCCGGCAGCCGCCGCCGCGCCCGTGGGCCTGGCTGCGCCCGAGAATGAGTCGCCGACGCAGCTGCAGCTGCAGCTGCAGCCGCCGCAGAAGAAGGGCAGGACCAACACACCGTGGACGGCGGCCGAGGAGCAGAGGCTGAAGATCATGCGCGATGCGGGAAACAGCTGGAGCGAAATCGCAAAGGTACCTTGGTTTGTTTTTTGTTTTTGTTTTTTTGTTTTTCGGCTCATGGAGGGCGCATTGGAGGGGGGAGGCGGGCTTGGACTGGAGTGAAAGAGAGAGATGACTAACTGACGCCTTCTTCCTTTTGATAGACGTTTCCTACCAGGACCGAAGGTAGCGTGAAGAAACACTGGTACAAGGTACGTACTACTCTGTCGCCAGCCTCGAGGTACTGTACCTCTGCGCTACGTTACTGAGCCTCTTCCGTGCACTAGGACATGCACTATGCCGAATTCGCTGAGGACGAGGTGAGTGAGGCGCGGCTCGTGGCGTGCGAGCGTCTCTTTTAAGCTTTGCGGTACGACTGACACGGCGTGCACAAGAGCGCCGCGCTGCTAGCGGCCATTAAGGAATACGAAGCCAGCAAGTGGAAGGTCATAGGCGCAAAGGTCGGCAAGCCCGCAAAGGTACGTATCCGCGTGCTGGCGTTGAGGACGAGCGGCGTGACTCGGTACTCGGGTCGAGACTCGAGGGCAGGCTGACGGGTGTCATGGATAGGCTTGCGAGCAGTATGCGAAGGAGCATTTTGGCGGGAGGGCCTGAATCTTTATGAGGAGCACAGCTGCTGCACATTGCCGGCGTGGGTCGCGACCAGGCTTTCTTTGGGGAGATGGAGAGACGGATTTTCGTTGTCTTTCTTTCTTTTTCCTTATCCCCATGTTTTCTTTTTGTTGTTCCCAGAAGCAGCGCGATTGCATATGCACCCACTTTGCGCGCGTCTTGCCTACTAAGGTACCACCTGCCAGCAGCCGGACGACGACGAGATTTACGAAACACGATGGAGACGGTTGTGGAGTGGTGGTGATGGTGGAGGATATGGAAAGGAGGATGAGGATGAGAAGGTGGCTGAGGAGAAGGAGGTGTAGGAGGATGTGGAGTAGCGGGAGCGTGTTGGGCCGTCGGCTTTCTGACGTTGTTGAGGTTATTGTTAATGTTGTCGTTGTCGTTGTCGTTGTTGTTGCTATTTGTCGCTGTTTGTCGCTGTCGCTGTCGTCGTCGTTGTTGTTGTGTTTTG